GTACTTGGTTAACCCACAAAAAACTGAAAAGAAATTGGAAGACAAGTGACCAGACAAGAATTTCATTTGTGTTTCAGAAATCTCAGGGATGTTGGCATGCATGCTATTGGGCCCTGAACGGTGCTGATTTTACACTGTTTTCAATGGGGCTTGAATTAGTGGACTGGACCCCGATGCTACTCACCGGAAACTGTCACCCGAAATGTGCAGGTTACCCTATCACCAGCAGTAGTTTGAGCCGAGCATGTTACCACAGTGATGCCGATTGGAAACTCCGAGCCACTCTGGGGGGTGCATGCCGTGTTCATCACCTCAGAAGGCTGCCTTGGGATACTCCAAGTCACAACTCCAGTGTCTTTGTTATTGTCTGTATTACCCGTCCAATCAGAGGGACAAACGACGTCTGAGAAAATATTGAAAGAGAAAATAATTAGGCAAAGAAAGTAGACCCTATTTTCCTTGCCGAAAAAAACATTTCTGAAGGTATGTCCTGCAGTGCAATGTTGATCACCACTGCTGTTTGTTCTCGGCATTGGTGGGTCAAAGCAGAGGAACCACACCTGCTCCCCCAAACCCCCAGAAATGGCATTTTGAATACCACGAGAGAAAGTAGATCTAGAAAGCAGTTTCATCGCCCTTCCTTCCCAAAGCGTTTAAAAAGCAGCAACCCTCTGACAAGTTCAAAAAGGCTACACAAAGAAATTCCAAAATGTCAACCCCACCTCCCAAAAAAGACACTAACACCCCATTAAAATCAAGTTTTTAGCCACCCCTTAAATCTATGCAAAATGTGCTGAGTACTCATGAGTGTGATTCGTCCTTAGTTTTGTATAGGTCCGACCTCCACAGTTTGATCCCAACTTTTGGAGGAGTGAGAGGTCAAAGCAATGTACTTCAGAATTATTTCATCAAATCTATGCCACTTTGAGTTGGAATTCACACCTCAGCTCCAATGTCAAAATGATTTAGTTAAAAACCCGTTTTTATTAAAAATCCACGTGGCGTTTAGTGCGGCATACTTTTATTTTTGTCGAAAAAATCAGCTTTTAAACATCGCATATCAGTGTCATTCCTGAGTGAGCGAGAATAAAATACATTCGGAAATCTTTTAAAGCCCTTTCAATTTTCTTTTCGTTTACTTTTCTACCTTACAGCCTACCAACTTCCACTTCTAGTTTTATCCCGTCAAATGGCCTGCCGAATATGAAGTTTGATTCTCGAAAAAGCTAAACGAATTGACTTTAAGCCTTGGCTCAACCAGAGACCGAAACCATGCTACTCTCAAACCTCTGGCATTTTGAAATTTAGCAACTCACTTTGACCAGTCACCGACTCCACGAGAAAAGACATCGCCACCAACAAATGGAAACAGGCTCCGATAGATGTCCCATCAGCCATCTTTTGAAGATCTGAAGAAAACGGTTATAAAACGGAGAATCTACAATCGTTGGTTTCTGTTCAAGTTGGGTCTAAGGTAAAAACAATAGAAACGACCATGAAACAAATAAAGCCGGAGTTTTTATTTCTCAAACCACCTTCATGACAACATACTGTTTGAATTTCCCAGACCAGTTTCCCACTAGTCCCCGCTGCAAGTCACAATTTTGTCTACTCCCTGCTTTAGTTAACAAAAAAGGGTTAACAGTTAATTAAAAGTTGCTGAACTCGCTGAAGAGTAACCATTTTCTGTAAGTTTTCAGAGGTGGGAAGTTTCCTGCCAGCAGAAAAAATGACAGAATAATCCTACATGAGTCATCGGTTCTACAGTCAGTGTTCTGTTTCGCAATAATTTCCGGGAGACCGTCTTCCCCGTTTTCTCATTCTCTGTGAATTAGAACTAAAACCAGGAAAATATAGTTCGGAAGCTTCCTGCCGAAGATTCACACATTTACAACTATTTACAGCGTGGACTCAATCCACCGAGTTCCTGGTTCAAGCATGGTTTCTTGACTCCATCGTCAGAACCAAAACATTTCCTGAACACGTTCTTCAAAGCCACACACTGAGATGCAGATCGGGTTTTAGAGCACACAATGTTTTGATACAGCCTCTGAAGCGCTTCTCAACAATAGCACGCATCAAACCTGTACATATTGACCCACAAGACGGAAAAGGACGTTCATTAACTCCAAAATAATAGTTAACTTGTTTTTAGAATTCTGATACACGATGGACGTCTTAAGGCCAGTTCACACTTCACGCAAATGCGAAAGCGAAGCAATTTTGACATCATGAAAGATTTGCAGCAATTGTTTATTAAACAAACAATTACTTCAATTGTTCGTTAAAAACACTTAAAACACCCTTTGGTGCAGAGGGACGTCATGTTTATGTTTGATACCCCCTTTCATTATATTTTCAGGTGTTCCAGTTGTTGCAATAAATCCTAATGCCTGTTTCAAACGCAAGCAAGGGTGGCCCAAACGTATTGGATTTTTGAGTGCGGACCTGATGGGAACCTGTTTCCACACAAAATCCACTCCCTGCAGCTGAAACTATATGCGGAGAGGACGCATTCGAGTGAAAGTTAATCAATCGAATAGAACGTGATTTCACTCAAGTTTCCACTGAAAGGGGTTCTTTTTAAGTCTTGCGATCTAAATTCACGGTGACTGTCACGCTAAAATGGCCAAAATCCCCAGGCTCACTTTGCCGGACCTAGAGAGTAACATAGGAATCCCGCGTCTGGCCCTTGCTATTTTAACAACAACCTGTCTGCCGTGCCTGTACAAAAAAAGTGTGTTTTCACATGCCTTTTGAAACCCTTTTTTTTCAGGGATTGGAATTTCTACATCGTGCGCGGTAAGATCGTTTTGTGAACAGGCCTTACAGGGTAGCCATTTTTTATTGTGATCCGGAGATCTGTCAAATGGGGTGTGCCAGACTATTTGGGGGGTTCCACCTCTAGTTTTCATTTTCTAAAATGTGGTTAAAAACAGACGGATATAATTAAACATATCAATCAAATTACATTATTCGTTAGTGTAAATGACATTAATTTGCGTCAATTAATTATTAAAAAAGTTAACCTTGCTTTCAATTCAATTTGGCCGACTTCTGAGTAAGGCCAATACAGAGGTAAATGATACTCCTCCACACTCTTTGTAACGACTTCATCTGCGTCGCTTCAGACTCAGTAGAAGCATGCTTTCAACGGGATGGTTTCGTGGGCTGCATTCTGGAAGGGCCTCCTTTACTATCCTTTTCATGACATTTAAATAACAGAAATACTCGCAGAACAGAACTAGGAAGTTAAAATATGAACATAAGTCCCAATAGTAACATTTTTCTGGTACTTTTTTCTCTGCGATACATGTAAATTTGCAACAGTCAAATCAAAATAGGAATAGGGTCTGCTCTTTCCACTCAGCCGTGTTTTCCTGCAAGTGGTTGCTAAAACTATGGTTGGCTGTCGGTACAAAAATAAAAGAATAAATCACACAATGTTAAAACTCCTGCACAACTACTAGATGAAAATACAACCCCATGCTTCTATAAAATTATTTTTAAGATTTAACAAAATGTCCATTATGAACGAAGGTAAGAACAAATATAAGGTAAGATCGAAAATCAACCAAGAGGAGATGTTTCTGCAAACATTGGCCTCCCATACAAGGTGTATAGGCAAAATGAAAGCGGTTTATAGTAATGTACATTGAGTGTAAATTCAGAGCCATGTAACTCTTCTTCATGCACGAGGGCTGAAGCATAATCAACATCGTTGTCCAAACCATCGCTCTATCACCTCAAATGAACACTACAACCACCAATTTTATCAATCGTGTCATCAAATTGTCACTATAGACTTATCCAACAATATCACTGCTCACCATCACCAAAAGTTCCCAATCAGTCAAAGTCACAATTTATTTGCGAGATTATTTGCGAAATTTCATGTCTTGTAATGACCTTCACTGCTTCCATTATAACCACCACCACACAAGCCCAGTTAAGCAGGTGTCCTGGAGTCATGCCGACCCAAATAGATTAACGGGAACAACGCGGGTCGACCCAATAAAAATTTGGTTTCAGAAGGCAGGTGAATTTAATTTCATAAGAACTCCTCAACATTCATAAATCCCAACAATACTCACAAACGTAAATACAAAAGGCATCAACTGTATTACACCTGAACTGGTGCTTTTAATCATTCTTTAATAGAACTCCTCCGTCACTACAAATTTGTTGTTTTCCAAAATGTCCATTTTCATTTATTCCATTGAGGAATACAATGGGCGTCTAAGTACATATACATATATATTTTATTTGCATCATGTTCAGCTCATACAAGAGCTCAAAGTGCCGATCTTTCGCGCGCTGGCGCGCCTACTACTGTCGCTACCACTGTTTTGGATTTCGAACGGAATTCAAATCTTGCTTTTAATTGGATCGGCGCGACTCTCTGGAACGCATGTCTGAAACGGGGTGTATTATCATGAGTGGGTAAAGTCTCGGGTAAAGTCCGTAGTGGGTAAACACTAAACAAACTGTAAGTCCCCCTCGAACCCCTGTTCTTGTACAGCTTGCAGTTCCCGGCAAGCATTGGAAACAAATCGTCACCCACTTCACAAACTAACACTCAGTTGCGAGTGTGTGTCAGTAAAAACAGCGCTTTCGACATTTTCGGTTTTCACGAACTAGCACCCGGTTATGCGCGCACATCGCACACTGAAGCAAAATAGACTGATTTCGTTTACATGAAATTAGCACACAAGATTATTACGGTAATTCAGCATAGAGAAAAATTATTTAAAAGGTTAGACGATTATTTATTCCATCCACATCATTGGTGCCTCACCAGAAAATTTAATTAAAATTCGTTTTAAGCACTAAAACAAAGATTGTGGTTAGTTCGTGAAAACGAAAATGAAGGGACTGCGAGCTGGAAGTGCCGCAATATACTGGGTTCTACTTTGTGAAAACAAAAATCACTCATTTCTCTAAAACGTTCACAAACGAGATTACCTCGCGCACAACTGAGTGTTACGCCGTGGTGTTTTAGAGCACGTCATCAGATTTTCAGGCCGAGTCATCTAATCTTCTCACTGCACAGAACGATATTTTTCTACAGAATCTCAATCCACCAAAACTGCATTCTAAGCGAGTAAAGTACCCTCTATCTAAATTAAGACAAGCATTCAAATTAAACTCACCGCGTACCTGGTTCTTGAAAATCGGAAATTTCAGCTTTAATGCAACTCTTTTGCTCTCGCGAAACTGTGTAAAACTACATCAACTGTGTGGCTGAAGTTCATACAAGGCCTACTGATGGCAAATGCGGAATACTTCCTGCTATACCATCAATAACTTGCTTTGCCAATGGTTGAAATGTGCATTGTACCCCAGTTTTTTTATCTGCACTGTCGCGCATTCACCCGTAACAGTACATTGTGGTGAACTGAAAGCTGGTCGCCCGTAGTTAGTTGGCATATCCTTCAAATGAGACCTCAACAGGAAATAACACACCAAGTTCAGCATGAACTGTGTGTGGAGCATTGCCTTTTATACCTCCGTCAAGTACAGACCGCCATTTGTCAATATGATAGCTCACAGTGAAACATGGTTTACTGACCCCGAGGAGGATCTACTTTCTTGAACATCTACAAAAGCTTCCCAACTACTCTCCCAAAATCAATCCCTTATTACGAGACACTATAAGGGCCTTGAGATGACCACTCATGATGAGAACTACACAGAAGAAGGGGAAATTTAAAGAGGCACACCGCTCTGAAATGGCAGAAATTTCCATTGTTGAGATTCTTTACGTACATGTGTTTCATCTGAGTTGTTATGACCCAAGTACATGACTGGACTCGAGTCCGACTCGGGTCACACGTTTTGGAGACTCGATTCGAGTCCCGACGGGTAAATGACTCGACTCCACTCCAGTCACTTCAATCAAATGCCACAACTCGATTCCCTCATTAGGAAACCCAACTCGAGTGAAAGGTAATAAGAAGTGAGTCCAAACACAAAACGAACTTCTCGTGGAAAAAAATATTTGCAATGACAGTACCAGCGTTCATTCTCATATCATGCATTATTATCAAGACGGTAAGATCGACTCCACTCGACTTTTTGACCGAATGACTCATTTGAGTCGACTCCAGTCACCACATTCCAAATATTCGACTTGAGTCACAAAAATTTGTGACTCGTTACAACTCTGCTGTATGACAGAATTACGCAGAAATGAAACCAAACAAGCCAAACAACGGTTTCTGTACAGTTGAGGCAGCATTGAAGCTTGCGCGTATATGTATTTCCAGCCGTGTCATATACAGCATCAAACAGTGGCGTAAATTTGTTCCGGAAACTGGGGGATGGGGACTAGTGGGGGTGAATGACGGCCCGGCCATGGAAATTTGAAAAGTGCAGGGGGGCTATTACGTGTGTAATATGTATTACTGTCACGAAGTGAGGTTAATTTGTTCAAGAGAAATAACTCTTGAGTCTATTTACGCATGGGAGCCAAACATAACTTGAGTGTGCGTTGATAGAAACAAATTGTTGATTTTATTTGGCCAGTGTTTCCATGTAGTATTTTTATTTAAATTAGATAGGTTCGCGGGAAGAATTGACAAACCCCATTGGATAGCTCGACTCTTGCTTGAGTAAGTCCTTTCTTATGAGGTCACCAGGGTCACACAACAAAAGGATTGAGGGTGTCCCACGTAGAAATTTGGCGGGGTTTTAAAAAAATTTTCGGGGGTAAAGGGGACTTGCGTCGGAGAGTCCGAGGAGAGGGCACGTCTTGCCAGCCTCGATGATTTTGCTGTGAGTTTGAAACTGCGAGAATCCAGCCAGTTGCGCTGAAGAACTTGATGATTGGAAGCTAGTTTATCGGTGAAGATAAGTTCCGTTAATGACGGGACGCTAGTGTATCGGTGAAGATAAGTTCCGACCGATACGCAAGGCGGAAAAAAAAAACTACTCGAGACGCAAGATTTCCCAAGAACCAGGTGTCTACGCAACCTGGTTCTACTGTTGGTATTGGACTAGAAGTCCGATCCAAGAGCTGGCCAGAAACTTGAACAACTCAAGACTCGGGGTTAAGTCAAGACCGCTGTACAACGAGAGGGTCAGGTCGGCGCCCCGAAGGCTACTCTGCGGTGAGACAGCTCGCGAGTTCCTGGCCAAAACGTGAAACAGTATCACTGCAGTGACAGAACGGATCCTTTAGAATTTTTACGTTAAATTTAAGTGGTGCACCTACTGTGTTGAAAACCCCAATAGTCCCGGGCGTATTTCATATCGTGTGAGATCAACAAAACTGTAAATATTTTTTTAAACTATAATAAATTTGTAAATTAGTCTCCGTAAAATAGAAGATCTGGTATCCAGTGTCTTATTTTGCTGGAGAGTGCAAATAACTGCCGAAGGTTATGTCCTCGGGGTAACCCAGGATGTGACAATTACATTCATACAAAATCTTACCACAACTTTTTATGCCTTTTTTGATTGTTCTCCTTTTCTAAGTGATACTGAATATGCTCATTAGAAGTTTGAAAACTTCTTCGCTATCCGCTTTAATTCTTTTCTCACCCCGGAAAAGTGGGGGGTGATTCAATAGCCCATCACCCCTGGTTAAAAAGTGGGTGGGGATATATGCCCCCATCCTCCGTGGGATATACGCCCTGGCCAACATTTTTTAAGGCACTTCCCCGTCACACTAGACCGGCGCCCGCTCGACCCGTCAAATTTTACACCTCCGAAAAAAGCCACGCATTTGAGCGTGTAGTTCCGTGGATGGAATGTTCATGTTTTCAATGATCACTCTAACGTATATGATTTTGCTAGCACGTCCAAAGCGTTTCAGAGACCAGATGGATACATCCAGGGCAGATTACCTCCTTTAACTCCTCTAAATCAGTTATTAATGCATGAGTTTTTCAACTGTTGGTTTTTCTTACCAGGGTAAATACTTCCGCGTGTGCAAAATATGCCTTGGTTTATTAAGAGGGCAGTAAGCTACCCACAGTACATTGCGACGTCGGAACCGTCTTCACGAAATTTAGTGAAAGACTTAAGACCTTACCAGCTACCTGTTTGGGAAAATATTGCGTTGGTAACATGTTTTGGCTCCACTTTTGAAATGGAAACCGAAATCAAATGTTCAGTTCGTTTGCTACATTTCAAAATCGGAAACCAGATGGTCATGCTACTGCTGCTTATTTAAAAAGCGCCTTCTGTAGTCCTCCATTCAATGACATCTCGATCTTATCGTCTTTAACTTTGCACAAAATTTCGCTCTATAAATAAATGCACAATTATCAATACAGTTTGTTGACAATTTTATTCTTCCTCTTTTGGGAGGATGAGGGTGTGTGGCTGTTATTTTGCTTGTGTTCCTGTGTTGGTCCTCAATGTTCTATATTTAGACACACCTCTTCAATTTCTAATGGTGTGTCGTGGCGCACACATTGTATATAGTATAAACGTCGCACACGCTTAAATGGGCCACTTGAGCTTTAGGGTCAACATAATGAATCGAAGAGGTTTTCCCTAGTGCTAATGGAATGATATTGATTCTGACAAAAATGCTCTTCTCTTTACAGGGGGCGAAGAGCATGTGGAATTTGTCAAGAATGTGGTTTACTGCATACATATATTTATCATCTTGACGGAAATGGGAGAAAAGGAGATACAAAGAAATGAATCGGGAAATGCAGATTTCAGATGTTTCACTTGTGATTGTGTGTACTCGATTTGCACGTCTGAAACGAGGACCAGGTTTCACTTCTTTTCGTCATCTGGCGTGAGAACGTCAGCGACAAGGCAGCCAAAATATACATATATATTTAATAGCACTGAAGTGATACTTATGTTTCAGGCTTTGCATTGTGAAGCCTTGAATCTACTGGAGCCCTGCATACACTGTTGGCAAAGTTCGGCAATGGCAGTCGCTCGTGTTGCTAAGGGACAATGTGTAATCAATCCCCTGCCCTCCTGAATAGAAGCAAGCGGCTTAGGAAGCCAAATAAAAGAGAGGGAGACATTTATTTCGGCCCGCTGAATGCGTCCATCTCCTCGTGATACGATTGTTGGTTAATCTTTATACCACTTTTGTCGAGGTTAAGAAAAAAGGGCTTTATCCAACCTAAGATTTAGCCGTCTGCGAGGAAACACATCATAGTCACCTCTGAGATAGTGCAATGTACTCACAGCGATTTTTTTGCGGCAGATACGTCCTTTATGGCCTCTGAGTTATGCAAGTGACATGGGACCAGCGACTGCATCTGCTTAAGGAGTCATTAAACGGTGAAATTCCGTTTACTCGCAAGCTCTGATTTGCGAGCCAGATTGCAGGCCAACAGTAGGAGAGGATACCAAATTAATCAATTCTTTTAATTAAGAAATGAAATGTGATGTTTTTCCCCCGGATGCTGATACGAGATTGAGCTTACTAGTTGACTGACTGATCAGTTGGGAAACTGAGAAGGCCTTTTCAGTGTCATTGGAGCAAGTGCCCTGCGAAATCAACACTGCAGGTACTCCTTCGATTGTGAGCTGGACCATCAAAGGGTTCGGGATTATGAACAAGCACCGCTTTGCCGTCGAACACCAAATGGCATGTCAAATTTACGACCACCGAACGTGTGGGTCGCTGGTCTTCAAAATTTACCATCGACCTCCGCAGCCCACAGCCTTGGACATAGCGAAATGGTACCTGTCCAACACTGAATTCTCCTTTCTACGACGTTGTTTTTAAATCAAATAGGAATAATCCGACTAAAAGTGTGTATTCCTTGTAAATTCAAAGCTATCTGCCCTGGAAATTTCCAAATGTGAGACAAACATGGTCGACGAACTCTCCAGCGCAGAAACGCTAGACTTGTACCGGTACCTCGCGTGAACAAACGTGTGGTTTTTTTAACTAAAGGACACGTGGGTTAATAGACACCTGATAATCATTGACAACACAAAAAAGAACACGTAACCCCGTCTCCGTGGTAATCATGAATGATCGAACTACGGACTCAACTTAAAAGGGCAATTCATTTTTTTTAAATTTGCATTTCAGAACTCAACACTTCCTAACGATGGTCGTGAGAAGTTGCCAGCCCGTTTGTCTCGTCCGTAGCAACGATTGAACAAGCTGTTTAAAGCTGAGAATTAAACTGGGGTTCATACTGCACAATTCGTAACTGAGCATGCCACGCCATTGTGCGAAAGGATGGAGTGCCTCTTGGACAACTTCAGAAACATGGACGGACGAGATTCTATTGGATATTCGTTACTAAGTATTTATCGCAAGAACACAGAAAATAAGCAAACATTGGTGTGGACATGAGGGATCTAACAGTAACGTGCAAACAGTGAGATGGGGGTCGATCGGTGCTCTGAAAAACAAACAAGGGAATGTTTTTAGCCTTATGAGTGTACTCACGAAGTGTTGTTGGACATGGATGCTGGACAAACGCCGATGACTGGCAGACAAACATTTAAGAGTTTCTTTTCCAGTGGCCATTCGCCGTACCACAACAGCGGTACACTATCGGCAGCTGTGAGCGATTCAGCATTCCGCTATCCAGACATGCACGTGTCGTTCCCTCCGCTGTCCGCCTCATCAGCGGCCCCCGCGCCTGCTGTACCGGGGTACTGTGGCGAGATAAGGTCCCACGCCGGACACCGTGCGCTTGGGACGTCCAGGCTGACAGGTTCGGCATCCTGGGGCACGTCCCGCGCGCCAGTGAAGCGCCGAGGCTCCCTCTCCAGCCTCGGGGACGTGATCTCGGGCGGTCAACAGCAGAGACAGACTCTAAAACTCGCTGATATCACCGACTTCGATCTGACGCGGCCGTCGGCGTTCGAGAAGTTGAGCGACCTGTACCGGAACAAGTCTACCCTGGATGGGCCCAGTGCCCACGCCATCTTAGGCAGGGAGGCGCGACAAAAACATGGACCTGGCCCGTCGAAACAAAAATCTAAACCAGGCCCCCTCAGCCACCATGTTCATCTGCCCCAGATCTCCATGGACTCATCACCACCTTTAGTCTCTTTCCGACACTCGCGGATCAAACCATCCACCCTTACCGAGAACGAGACTGGTCTACCGAGTAAAGCCCATCAACCGGCTCAACGAACCCAAAGTTCCAACCCTTCTGCAGACGAGGGAAAGCTAAATCCTCGTCCCCTACCAATCAGGAAAAATGAGTCCTCAAGAGCGAAAAACAACTCTGTTCACCTGGTGGATAAAACTCAAAACTCCACAGGTTCCGAGAGGGGAAAGCAACTCCAAGTGAGCATCTCGTTACTACCCTCTGTTTCTACAAGCACAATTGCAACAGCTCTAACATCTCCTTCTGCTAAAACTCATGATTCTGCTTCCCGGTCAGTCAACAGAGAGGTAGACTCTTCCGAGTCGGAGATAATATTGAAAAATCCTCTTCCCGGCAAGTTGCAAGATGGTATGGATCCTTCAGTACGCCAAAGCTCGGCGCAACAAGACGCCATTAACTCCTCTATGCACTTACCGCTTTCAGGAACCCAGCAAACGTTGACGGCCACAGGTCCGGCAAGCCGCGGTGCCTTACATGTACATCCCAAGGTTGATGTGAGAGCCGGTGTTGGCCTTTCCCTCAGCGAGTACACAGCGATCATCATCAACAACGACGGCTGCGAAGGGGAGACGTTGAGTACTGTCAGAAGCGACACTTTCCTGGGCGAGAGACGATCGGTTCGGTTCAGCGTGAGCACCAAGGTCATTGAGTACGAGCCCGGGGCCTCGCTTGCCGGTGACGATAGGCAGTCCGTCGATCAGGACAATGGCACCTGTATGGCCATTACAGAATAAAGTTTAACGTACAGCCAAGCAAAAATAGTACTCCCTTAATTAAATAGTATTAATATGTAGGTGTAAATCAGCCCATGACCAAAAAGAATGATTTTTTGAATATCCAATTATGGACAACAAAATGTGGATTATTCACACCAACTGAACTAATATATTATTTCTGTTAGGATGTTGACAATGTTGAAAGAATTCTAACATAAACCTGGCCAATTCAGTCAGTACAGCACTGAAATAGTGGACCAGACGGGCGCACAATCGATCAAATCGGTACGTCCATCGGAGTTTCTGACAAATCTAAAAAAAAAACAAAAAAAAAACCTGTAATGTGCAATTGTGTTGGGGATTCGAAACACTGAAGATAACTCTTATTTAACACAGTGGCGAAAAGCAATAAAATTATATTTCCAATTTCTACAGGATCAATACTTTCCAAGGATGGCAGTGGTTTAGTGATCAAAGGGGGAGTTGTTCCTTTCAAAAATAAATGAAAGGGCTAAAGACTGTGCAAGAGTCAAGCAGCGTCACGGTCAGCTTGGGCTATGTGGCTTGGTTAGGGGTAGCGCGAAGCCTTCCAGAAGGGGTTTATGATGAAACTAAAACTGTCTCACCTTGGCTACTTTTGGTTTTACCCTTTTTTCCTTATCCTTAAAGTTCTGTGATGCCCCTCAAGCATTATTCAGAGTGTCAGTTCGCTGTCATGCATACAACTTTGCGCTGGAAATGTGTGAATGACTTTGTTTGAAATGATAGGGTAAAACGGTTGCTGTTTACATTGCATTATTTATTTTGTTTTAATTTCATTTTATTTAAGTTTCGAAAATTGCCTGTGTGTGCTCAGAATAGATTTGGGGCGTTACTTATTTGGGGCTTTTGGAAAACACAAATGCAATGAGTGAATTATGCTTATCATAAATATTTATCAATGAAAGATCATGTAGGCCAGAATGTTGCATGGCAGACTTGCTCATTCGTGATGTTAAATAACCTTTATAAGGATTTAAGCATATTCACCGACAATGGGTAAATGCGCCTTCACATCTTTGCCAATAGAAATTAACTGTAAAACAGGTCGGGTGGCCTGGGGTCATTCAGTTACCATTTGAAACCTGCAAATGCACCTGAGGATTTCCTATCTCACAAAGCCGGTTATAAATCAGATACAAATTAGAAAAATAAATCTTCACAATTCTCTGTGTGTTTGAATGCGTATGAGAGATTAATTGTGAGAGAAAGTTTCGTGTTTTAAATTGATTGTTCTTCCATTAAGCCGATGCCTTTTGAAAGCATTTTTTTATCTTAGTAAATCTTGAATGACAGTTGATACACACTTTGTTATCTTGGCGAGCTGTTTGTTCAGCACTGAAACGATCACCAGATAGCATTTCAAATATCACTGCTCTCATCATAAACCACAACGGAAGTTAATCTACGAGACAGATGCAATACACGAAGATAAAATGGTCTTCAGCGAGTTGTGAAAAACTACATATCCAGGGTCTCCGAAACTTTTGAAACAAACGCACATGTCCCTGGCTTAAATCACTCACTCACACGCTTTCTGTGCGTGTGGAGGCAGCTTAACCTGATCATCTGACATTTTATCAGCCTATCAATATCATTTAGGTGTTCTGTTCGAAATCACATCATGATTTCTAAAGTCGACTCTTACTGGCTGGCTTGTGGCCGGGGTCATAATATTTGCATAATCATCAGACATTTTGAAGCCACAGGCTTCGTGGAACAAACGACACTCAGACAAGACAGAGATGTGCACAAAGCAGTATTGGAGGAAGGGAAACTCCCCGTCGATTACGGCTCAGTCTGGAGACCGGACTGTTTCGGGGCGTGTTTTCGTGTTTTAAACGATTTCTCAACTTGGCATACAATCGTGGAATCGCACTCCATGTTTTTGTCATCTTTTTATTTTCCTGATAATAATTACAATATTTGTCCATATGAATAGAATAATATATAATCTTAGACATTCCAAACTCGTACTTAATATGAGGATCATTAAATTTATCTACAAATTTTGTTGGTTGGTCATTGTCAGGGAACATTCTTATTGTTACATGAGGGCCGACAATGAGACCTGGAACTGCACTCCGGCCCACCTAACCGGTTACCCATCGAGGCACTCATTATTTTGACTTGGAATGTTTGCATTACTCCCACAATGCCGTGTCTCTGTGTTATTTCCGAATGGTCTCAGTTTCGGCTTAGGCCTGTCCGCAACGGGCTCCCAGAGCTTTGGCTAAGTCTACTGTCTGCCCGTCTCGGTGTACTTCCAATGGAGTGAAGACCTTGACCTAGCTCTAGACAACAGATTTGGATGCAGCTTATAGTCTCGACGAGTCTCTCTTCGAAAATGCATTCTGGGTAGCAGCTCTGTCACTGTGGTCTTTGTGCCAATGCAAAGTGCAACACTTTCAAACTGATAAATTTGTTTAACCGTCTGAAGCAGGCTACTCGCAGTTGTATGTCGTGTTAATACACCCACAGCAGGAGGACTGCGCTTTCAAGGAGTTGGTGAGTAGACATTTTTAACTGTTGATGGCCTGATTCAAGGATTTAATAGATTGAGCATTCTGGAAAGAATGGAAAATGCTCAGAATTTGGGATCACTATGTCAGTAATCAGCTTACTGCAAATGTGCGAAGTTTATTTGCTCAAATACCCCTTCGAGCCTCCTGGGGTTAAAAAAAAATGTAAAACTGAGCTTTTACCCATTATAATAAAATACATGTCATAGGACTCATCTAGGCGGGTCCCCAATTTGTCCGTGTAGTGACATCTTTTGGCTCACATCATGGAGGTGGCTCACATGTATACCCTGTAACTGAGTAGTCATTTTGTCCATTTAGTGACATACTACCATGTAGCAAAAGAGTCCAATTACTCAGAATGCAACACGTGGGTCTCGTGACTAAATAAATACGTAGCTGGGTCCTGAAATAAAACCCTGTGAAAAGCATGATCTAGGTTACATGCATAGGATACTAGTCGCCTGGCCAGTTTATTTGACCAATCCCTGAATTTGGAGAGACAAATTTGCGTTAGCCTCCACTGACAGTTCTTCCAATATGTTTTCCTTTGGGATTTTTGAAGAGAATGTTAATTCTACAATGACGTGCAGAGGACTTGATAAAAGGGTTTTTCTATCAATTACATTTAGTGCACGAACACTTGCTGAAGTCGCACGTACAGGTTATAAGTTGTATCTATATGTTAAAAGTTGCCATTTACTCGAAGTTACGAGGCATGCCCGCTTTTTATTTCATACGTATTCGGGTAAGCAGAAATGGGGTAGGAAAAGGTTACACAAAATCGCCGTACGGGTTTCGTCAGCTTTCGTGTAAAGCACTGTGATGCCAAAACGACAGTAATCTTCGCGTTATCTACGCCTGTCTTGTGTATTTGAGTTTGTTTCTGCATTCAATTGGGGACCTTGAACAATAGAGGACAATAAGGTCACCGATTGACAGAGGGTTCCCGATTGACAACTGTGTACAAAACATATGGGTGGTCTTGTAAAAAAGTTAAAGTACAAACAAAAGAGGAACAATAGGGGGTCCCCAGTTGCAGGCAAATACACACTTGTGTGAGTTTGTGAGGGGTATTTCTGGATCTCACGATTAGAGATGTGTAAAGCGGGATAATTCTTGATATTCGTAAAAACTATATAGGTTAAACTCCTTTTATCTTAGCGAAGGCAAGTTTTGCATAAGTGCCATGAACATTTCCTTGCCTTTGCAGTGATCATGTGTTACAAAATGCGGAACAAATACTACTGTTTGAATAGGTGCACAGCTTGTTATAATTTTATTTCCAGGTTTACAAGCATTTTCAAAAGTAACAGTGTCAGGTCGAGATAAATATTTTTCCACTGGACTTCAACAATAGATACAATGTACCAGTTGATATCAAATTCAGATGAAACTAATTGAAGAAGGAAGGTATGCATGTAAAAATATTATGACAACTCTTCAAACAATACGAAACCTTGCACTTGTCATGCTTTGAATTAATTTTGTCATTTCATTTTTTCCTATCCTGCTCGTGGCGTAACTGTTTCAGTAACTTTGGTAGTTTATTAACTTTATGTGTTCACGGAAACGGTTCGATGTAATTCGTACAAATTTGTTTTATCAAGGAAGCGATGTCGTTGCTGAAACAAGCACAGCATTAAGTGCGATACATAATTCAATATTCCAAGGGAGCACTGGACCGTATGCGCATTCGCACTACGGTTGAAGGTTATCAGTGTTCCTGCCCGAGATAATACCCCAAGCTACTCTGCTGTTGGATCTACACTTAAGTTTTAAATAGTGGTTTTTAGGGGGGGGCAGCACGGCACTGAGCACAGTAGGCAGCCCTACTGCCTTTCAAACTTTCTCGGTAACGTAAAGAAAACACACTCTTATCCTAAATTTTACTTCGAATATTCTAGTGACGTAGCCAGCGATGGGAGAGGGGAAGATGTCGACAATTTTGTATTAGTTTCTAGATCTGAAAGCGCCAGCATTCTAGAAATGGTAATTCCGCGTTTATTCGAAGGTTGAGGACAGCGGCGTAGTGAAGGCATTTTCTTGAGGGGGGGTGCCAGGGTCAATTTACCGACTGGTTGATGTACGTCAATAATTCATGACGTCAATTTCAGTTTCATTTGCTGACTGACCCTCTATTTGCCGACTGAAAAGAATTATTGGGTGGTGCAACACCCCCACCCACACCCCCCCCATCCCTACGCCGCTGGTTGAGGATTCTCTTACTGATAAAAAAAAATGGACAATCACTTGGTAAAAATCCACCCGTCCCCCTGCGCTGCATCCAAGACCTGGATACGCCACTGTCATATCCTAGATACCTACAGAGGCGAAAAGACGGAAATTTAATTACAAGTAAATATATTGTTTTTCTTTCTGCCAGATAACTGAGGTCTAGAAATGGCCGCAGCAGAATGGGGCACGATGTGCTTCATTGAGGGCGTTCTGATGTCTTTGGTGATGCTCCTGACTGTTAATGTTCAAGGTAAGTGGAGTTCCGTGCACAAATAAACCTCGTTAAGACAGAAATATAGTGTTGCATCACGGAATTTCGCCAGTGCCATTTCGACGAACTATCGAGGAAACTCCACCCAAACTGTTTCTAGTGAGTTTGCACAACTTTGCTAAAACTGAGAGAGCGCATAAACGTCAACCCAGTTCACCGTTCCTATTAATCATAACATCGAACTTCGTGGTTTTGCTGTATCTGCTGTCTGTTCAGATGTATGGTTGACAAAATAGAATTTTGTCAGGGGGTCATTCTTCTGAATTTAAATTCACACTGCAGTTTCAATTTCTCAAATACCACGGTACTAAAATACAAAGCCAAGGCTCTGAGTATCGTCACTCGACGAATTAAAAAATAACACACATGTGCCGTCGACATTGCAGTGTCGCACCGACCAGATTATTCTTGTGCATATTACAAACGCCGGTGTGTACTCAGAGACAACACACAAACCGGAGACGAACTTGGGAGACGATGCCCCGGGGGTTGAGGACGTACATGTCCTCACAATAATTTCCAGGTGGGGGACGTCAACGGTGATTTTCCCCACCCCCAATATTTTTCCGGTGCATAATGAATTAACGCAGCGTTCCAGTATTTCCGCACATTATGTCTAAAACATATTTTTCAAACACTGACAATACATTTTACTTTTACTTGTTTACACTACATTGTACAATTGCACAATATAATTTTAATGGGCAAAATGGCGAGCTCTTGTGTATCCAGATTTATGCAGCGCCCTCTATGGCCAGCTGTGACCCAAGTCTCACGTGGCTCCATTCCTTGTTTCCTACCTTCTCTACCTTTCCAATAAATCACTACCCCAGTAGACAAAGACGAATTGGTAATACGGTCCAAGATGATGAATATGTGCCAGCTTCGTATGAGTGAAGGCAAGTGAGCCTTACCAAATAATCGTATATAAAAATGTAAATATAAATGTATAATGCGATGTACTTTGTTGTCGGTAGCCAGTGTTGCAGATTGTCCAGATGACATCTTTCAGAACACAGACACTGGAAAGGCAACAACTGTCGTGAACTGGCAAGCAAACGACACCACGTGCGATCTGTTATCTGGTTCTAGGTAAATTTAGAGTGGATGTTCTTGCTCTCTCTTCGGAGATTGGCAGAGTGTGTTCATCAATGCAGGCCCCAAGACCTTCCACGTTGTCTCAGTTCATTTCAAATTCCGTATACACATAACAAGGAATTGGAAATACCAGCTACAATTTAAGTGTTAAAGTTATGGGCTGCCTCCTTTGAAAATATATTTGTGACGGTTTTCCAAGTTAATCAAACTTATGCACAAATGTTTCTGTCCTACGATCATTTCCACTTGGTAATCCGCTCAGTGGAAAATTTACTGAGGCTATAAATCGAACACCACCACGATATTTCTCAATCTGATCCACAAGGAAAATCGTCCTACAGAGTTCGAAAAGTCCAATCAAAGTTGTTCAGATCCTGATTTATTTTATCTCGGGATGACGACATCCTAAAAGGATGGCAGCATCCTCGGATAATGTTTCTTGAATGACAAAATCCCAAACTATAAAATCAATTTATTTCGGAAAGACGGCATCCTAACGTGGGATAGTGACATCCTCAGATGATTTATCTCGGAAAAACAACATCCTAAACTTAGGATAACGACATCCCGAGATAACTAATACCGTGATGACGACATTATAAAAAGGATGATGACCTCCTCAGATACTTTTTCTCGGGATGCCGACATCTTTAAAGAAAGACGCCGATATCCTGTGATAATTGATACCTTGGGATGACAACATCCTAACGTGTAATGAAAATATCCTGAGTTCATTTATCTCCGAGGGATGTCGGCATATTTACTTTGGAAGACAACATCGAAAGATATATAATGTATATAGGATGACGACATCTTAAACGGCAGATAACAACATCCCAAGATAAATATTCCGATTTAAATATGATTTTACAAACACCCTACGGACTGGGGTTAATCTCGGGATAAAACATTTATAACTTTGGATGATGACATACTGAGATATATAATGTATGTTGGGATGACGACGTCCCTAAAGATGCCAACATGACCCTCTCATAATTGACAACTCTGGATGACGACATCATAAACGTGGGATGACAATGTCCTGAGATAATTTGGTACTGAGGAGACATTTCATTGTTGGCAAAAATTGTTGAAGGTGTTTGAACTTTTGGCGTTTTCAATCTCACTATAGCAGTTAATATTGCCTCGTTGTTCGGTAAGTATGATTCTCTTAAAAGACTTTATCTATTGCCGATGGAATTTGTGCGAAGATAAGTTTTATTAGTTATATATAACTTCATGTGTTGAAATACTTCTTTCAAATCTTGCGAAGGGCTTTGCTTTGTTCTCATTTCGTACTCAGTAGTCCATGGTTCCACAAATTCAATGACACCAGATTTATGGCCACCCATTCCATGATTTCCTCATCTTAATCATTTTTAGGCGTGCCATGCATGGGACAGGACCTTGCATTTCAAATATTTGACAGAGAGTGGAAGAATTGGCCGAGCTACTCGACGGGCGCGAAACTACAGATATGAAGACAAATCTAGCGAAATACACAGTGATACCTGTCTACAGGCATTCTGTCAGGTAGAATCATTGGCTTCCTGTACCACGTACATGTACTACACATGTGCCAACAGTAAAACATATGGTCACATAAAATGAAATGTTCTGCATTTGTGCTCTGCAATTAGCTTTCCCACATCTGCACTTTGTTGCACTAAGTTTTTTTGTCAGATAAAACCTCAGAGGCACCCATCCTCTGATAACTTAGTCTATGCGTCCAAAAGCTGAGCTACGGGTGCCTGGTTTAATTTGTAAAGGCTAGTTAAGTTTGATTATTAACAAAAGGATGAAGGAATGCAATACATGTAATTCTTAAACTGTAATTCAGCTGACGGTAAGCAGCTATATGCCGTACCGTCTACATGTACAACACACACATGCTTCTATAGCTCACTGCACTATGCCAGCAACATACAGTAAAGTTCACAGTCCTTTCGACTCCAGTTCCATTACCGTCACATAAAATTATCCCACGTTATCCCGAGTGACTGCCGTAGGCCTGTAAAACACAGCTAACCATCCACAAGGAGCTGCGGTGTGTATATGTCGTTCACAAATTGCACATGCGGCCGTCTCAGTGTTGGAGCTGAGGCTTTGATCGTCAAGGCCTGGGACCTTTTGAAAACAACCTGCTTACCTTCCACAGCAGATCGTCCTTAGTGGCCCCTCAGTCTCAGAAGATGCCCGAATTGCTGCATGTGGCCTCATCAGAAGCTAGTCGAAATTGCCATGCTGCTACTCCACAAGTGGAAGTTGCAGACCCTACTTCCGGTGTCGCAGACGCATCTCTATTCATTCACTTCAGAAACTTGTCTGAGGGAACGAGGCCCCCATGGTCGACATCAAGTGGCTGCCCTGGCATAACCTGCCACATCATAACGAATTACACACAGTAAGAAAAATATTTACAAAAAAGTGTAAACTAGGTTTATTTGCGACTAAGTATTCACGTACGGTAACACTTACGTGTGAAAGTGCTCAGGGCATCGTGGATACCACTTAAATTTTGTAAAAAGCCGGCCTGCGACCATACAGTGCTGCACAATAATAAAATCCACGTGTTAAAAATGGGGATCTAATAAAGCTGTATGTAACTTTTATGTCGTCATTATGGAACATGGAAACCATTAATTCTGGGCCAAAGTGGTAAGAAATATATAAATTTGGACAAAAAGTAAAACTAATCAAAGTTATCCTTCGAAAAGGTACAATCCTCACTGTCCAATCACTTGCATTGGGGATATTTCATCTACCATATGAATCAAGATGTCAGTCCTACAGGTTCTGCTGGTTGTAGTAAGTGCAAGAAATTTCAGTGGGCTGTTTTTTTTCTGCCGCCCCCCCCCACACACATTGGTAGCATCCAAAAATCCTTGCAGTCCTCAAACTAAACTTACTAATCGCTAATGAAATTGGCAAACTTGTCACTGTCAGCCTGAGAAATTTATAAAAGTGATCTAAAATCTAGTGAAAAGTCCCAAATACAATGGGTTTACATGATATGCTCAAGATCTGACCGTGTAAAAGTGACCTATAATTTGACCCTTCAGTTAACGGGTTAGCGTGTCTATTGCTTTTGTTCCTAAGAAAAACAGACACAATTATTTTGCAAAAGCGAACTGGCCAGCCGGACACTCGATTGTGCATGACAAAATGGGAACAAAGTATGACACAGAAGTAAAAGGTAATAACTGCCAATTTTGTGTAGCTGCGGTGGCAAAGGTTTTTCAAAATCACCACATAATTACCGGAAAATTGGGGCAAGCGAAGTGCCGAACATGCGTGTTACTCGCCCATTTAGCAGATTAGAGCACGCAGTACGTGTCACACTTATAATAATAAACTGATACATAAATTATGGGTCCAAGAGAGGAAAAATTACACAAGTATCCAATCAAACATTACAAACAGCTATCATTACAAATTATATAACTAAAGTGGTCGCGAACGAGAAACTTTAACTCGAGCAACGCGAAGACGACAATCTTACAAGCATGTATAATTATACGCATGAAGTGTTCCTGGTTTCGCTCTATGAACAATTACACACACTGGAAACATAAAAATACAGAGCGGTGAGGACGTCACAGTTTGTTACCCCTTACATTATCGTACAACGGTAATATTTCCTGTCGTTGAACGCTATTTTTAAGATTTTATATGTTAACATCTTAATTAGGGAATGTGGTGCTATTTACTTCAATCAAAATTCAAAATTCCAAACACAGTGAATTCACAACGCGGAAAATTATCAAAACTTAAATGTTGAAACATATTTAACCGAAGGTTTGAACTCATAATCGTTGCATTTGTATTGGTCTATCCTCAAGGTTCATGTGGTTTTAGACGCAACTAGGCCTTCAATTGATTTTTCCCAAAAGAGTGAGCTCAGTTGTACGCAGCTTCCGGCTAGTGAGCTTGGCATAAACCTGCGGGTAGGCTGGTTAAACTACCTACGATTAGGATATCGTCATCCCGTGAAAAATAATCTCAGAATGTAGATTTTCTTCGTTTTGATGTCATCATCCTAGGTGATATAATTTGGCTCGAGATATTGTCAATCTATTTTTAAAATAATCCCGTGATAAATTATCTCCAGATGTTGTTATTCTACTTTTAAGGTGTTGTCATTTAGTGATCAATCTCGGGATGTTGACATCACATGACAAATGTCTCAGGATGTCATCATCTTACTTTTATGATCATCTTTCCAGTAATGTGCTGTCAATCTGTGATGAAACAAATCGTTTTAGTCGGTCTCTACCTGACGTAGTCTGCAAGATATAACAGTGCACCCTGTGACGTTGACACCTGGTTGTTTAGCACCAGTGATGTTACAAGTAAAACACGATACAATGTTTGGTTAGTTAGGGAAGCTCAATTTTTTTTTTTAATCTGTGACATTTTTCTTTGAGCAGGTTTTCCATAGGATCTACAAACATTACCTGCACCGATGAGAACGGTAATGACACCTGCATTTTCACGGTCACTGTTAATGGTAAGCCTCAAAATGTCATGATTCCCGATTCAAAGCTTCCTATATGGCACATCATGTCGGTAGGTCTGTTCCTAGACGCCCGAAACACTTTGGGAAGAAGTGCATCATTCTTCCTAAAATGGGTAAAGAGTTTCGTGTGAGTTGATATAATACCAAACCAAAACAACGCACTTGCTTGGGAACTTTTATGAAAATTGGGCTTACTCGGAATACCATACTGTGGCCATTTTATCATAGCGGTATATGCTATACAGTTGAAGGCTAAAAATGAAGTCCCTTGACGCAAAGGAAACCTGTTGCACCAAACAGGGGACAAAAAGAAAATGTTTACTAAAGCTTCAAACAAATAAACCAAGTTTAAGGGATAAGATGGTACATTCTTTTTTTCTGACCCCAGTAATAATACATCTTAAATAAAAACAGCAAACAGCTATTCTTTGACAGTCCATTTATCCTTTACCAAAGCTACATGTATTTGCTAGCCGAAAGGTATTCATTGACCACCAGGTGCTCTTTGAAAGACGGCTTGACCGAGAGTTATTCCTTAAACAAGTACCTGCTTTTTGACTAACAGCTATTCGTTGACTTTGAGGTGTTCATTGAACAGAAAGTTCCTCTTTGAACAACAGCTTCTCTTTTACACTATGCTCCTCTTTGACCACCAGCTCGCCTTTGACCACTAGCTGTGTACTCCATGACCTAGAGCTATTTTTTAACTCGAGGTACTCTTCGGCCAACAGTTCCTCTTTGACAAACAGCTACTCTTCGACCAATGAGCTGTTATTTTTTGTACCGAAATCCTCTTGGACATCTACACTTTGACCAACATTCTACTGTTAGATAACGACCAAAAGCTACTCTTTGACCTACAGGTACTGTTTGACCATAAGGTACTTTCTGACACACAACGTATTTTTTGACAAATAGCTACTTTTTGACTTGAGGCTACTCTTTGACCAGCGCTACTCTTTAATCAAAAACATTCTTCCACATTTCACAATAATGTGTTCGTGCGTTTCAGTTTAGTGGCAGAGAAAAAAAGCTTTCTGGCATCAAAAAGAAGTAACTTATGCAACGTCAAGTGAATGTCCTCTTGTTAGGACCACGACGATTATTTTGACACGTATCCAACTTGCAGATAACGAGGCCCCAGTTTTCACAAAGTGTCCCTCCGAGCACATCCGATGGACCATTCGAGATTTCGACCCACTCCTTCCGGCTGTCTCAGCCCAGGTCACGTGGGGCTTGACCTCAGCCAGTGACAACTCGGGGGGCGAGGTGACCTTGAATTCGACGCACGAGCCGGGGGATAAATTTGAGCTGGGAGTGACTTCGGTAACGTACACAGCCAGAGATGAGTCGGGCAATAGAAACAGCAGCTGCACGTTCAATGTTCAAGTTGTTGGTCAGTTGGTTTTCTGTTCTGAGTTATTTTGGTCTATCACTTTTGCTCGATGAACAGGGTAAACACAGTAAACTTCTCTTCCAGTTTATGAAAGAACCTCCAGAAGATCCCAGACAGAGCCGTTAGGCGATCATTGCTGGCCATTTGTTAATCAACATTTTCCTTTTTCAATATCTTTCTAAAGTTCAACCTCCCGCCGACTACATATTCATCGACAACCCAAGAACAAGCAGCTCAGTTTCTTGTATGACGGTAGTGTGGCCAGCGTCAAAGGACGGAGAAAATAAAGAATACGCTCTCTATTACTGGAGAAAGGCAAGTCATTGCCAAGTGGTTTCGTGCAACAAAAGCCATAAAAAAAGTTAACAGTGACATCAACACAAAGTGGACCACCGACCGCAGTGTATATATGCCCTGTAAAATAGCACATCCTTTGTTTCTATGCTTCTAAAGGTTTAATGTGGGCTTTCTCTGTCCATCTATTCAGATTATTATACTTAGGTTCTCAGTACGAGCGAACTTTTATGATTTCGTTCCTTCCGTCCAAAGATATTCAAAATATCTCCCATAAAACAAACCCTTAATCCAAATTTTTTTGTCATCAATTGGCCGTTTTAATTAATTTCAATCGCTTTCTACGGTCACGTACAGTGTTATTCGACAACCAGAATTTGAAACCATTCTCATGACGACAAAATGCTCGTGACAAGGTGGTGCGCGCGCGTTACACGCCTCTCTGACCAACAGGGTGTCGTGATTTTCCAGATGCACACGTGCGTCAAGCTAAGGAATGTGCATGTGAGTGTGGTGCCACCACAGCTATAGCGTCCAATGGAATAAGTCTACCGGTAAATTTATTTCCACGATTTTTTTTTCGGAGGGGGAGTAAATAATAACTGTTTTCATAACAGGGGACGCCTAAGCCGGATAGCAGCGAGCGAATCGTCGTCACACCCCAGCAAGGAGACATTACCTACACATTCAACAGGCAAGAGATATGCAGCTTGTTCCCTGGAGACTTGTACGTGGTAGAAGTGAGTGAGGAGTCAGGAGACGCCATCTCATCGGTAGAGCATTGGACTAGTAAGGGCCATTGCTAACTGTTATTGAATGCTGTTGCAGAAATGGCACGTTTTAATCTATGCCTTACATATGGCGTTCATCATCCTCTCAAAATCACACTGCACTTTTGGCGGCGGCTGCAGGTTCCAGCTTCACCCTTTATGCCAAGCGTGATAAATGACTATTAGGCTACATCCAACCACTGCTCGAGTTTGCCCGGTCTCTAGGATGTATTTTGTGCGTGGGTTATATCGAGGAAGCTGATTAATAGCTGAAAAATATGCCTGACTAATAAAACTCTGTGACTCGATCGTAAGTGTGACGTCACTTCAGTTTAAACCACGCCCACAGAACACAGAGTTACACGGAACCCTTGAACCTGAAGTTAAATCACAGCTTTGAGTGTTCGAGCTAATTGTAATCAGTGCACGTGTATAACGAAGTCACCTACAAACCCGATATTCGGCCACGTCCGAAACCGACTTCTAGAGCTACTTCTAGGTCTATTGTCTGCCCGTCTGCGTGTACTTCCAACGGAGTGAAATCCTAGACCTAGCTTTAGACAAAAGACTGGGATGCAGTTGTATAGTACCACTACCGTACGAGGGTCATACGCACGCGTGCATGAAATCCGACATGAGTGCACGTAGGACAAGCACGTTAAACATGCCTCGTGATGTTGAAGATCAAAAGTTAAACAAACAGAAAATGCCATTCACAATTAGCTGGCTTACTGGGTCAGCCTATTAGGGCGTTGTGACTTCCAAATAAATGTGCACCTCAATTACCACGCGACATTAACGCGAGTGTGGTGCAACGTATGTGTACGAATTTTATGGGGGGAGCCCCCAAGGTCCCCCACTGGCTATGTTGCTGAAGACACCTCTAAGAATAAGTCGTTTATATACGTATTCTTCTGCAGGACCAAGAACACCAAGATGGATCAGTGTTGTTTCCGGTACCTCATCGTCAACTTCCGTGGAGCTGACTTGGGAGAGAGTGAGCTTGCAAAACTTGGAACAATACAGGGTGTACCTGAACATGTACACGGGATATAGGCCTACTTCAACAATAGATCTTGGCTACGTCTCCAAGACAACGGATAGACTGGTGGTGGACAGCCTCCGTCCTGGCGCTGCATTTGATGCATGCGTATCTGCAGTGGTTGGTTCAGGAGACATGCGCCTTGAAAGTCGACCACAAAGCCGATACATAAATCTAGGTACGAACTTCAGTAACAGCCTTAAAAGACCAGTGTAGAGTGAAACACCATAAATGTGCTAAATAGCATTTAAACTGAAAATAATAAGTCACCCTTCTAGTTGAACGCTCTAGGTTACGCCGGCACAACTTAGACTCGCAAAAGTCAATGAATTAGAATAAGATATTCCCACAACAGCGATGTTCTCCCCCCTGCCCCCCCCCATCCACGACAAAGTAACATTTGAAGGTAATCGAGAGGGATCCCAATACGACGCGTTTAACATCGATATGCGCACTTCCACGTTTTAAAACGAAGTTCCATGTGTCAGTTTCACATTTACATACACCAGGCACGAAATGGGACAGAGGGGTCCCCTAACAAGTCCAATCCCTATACACAGTCCAGCCTAATGTTACTTAACACCCCTCCCATGTCTGAAAAGAATTCCCGAGATATAAGTATAACAATGACCAACACAAAGACGGGGGGTTCTCTCTGTCCCATAGTTTGCATCAAATGTGCGCACATTGACAACGTCTAATTGTCTGCCACAAAGTGACGCCGTGCCTGCTGCTCACGATTCTTAGTTGTATTGTTGCATTTAGATTATTGAAAGGAGTCAAGACACAAAATACATAAAGGTTTGTTAACTTCAGACTTTTCAGGCTGTGACCTTTGGTGGAAGAGTCTTTCAGGATGACTGAACATGCGGCTTGAGAGTTGATGTACTCCTAGGCCCATTGTTACTTATTGATATTGCATATATAACGTTACTGCCCTGCCCGCCGGCGAGGAAACGTTGAAAACCTCAACTATGGTTTTCCTCATACTTGTTGCCAATCTTGTTTGTTGAAAGGCCTAGAATTCATTCGGTTAAACACTGGCACCTATTATTCCATGATACATGAGACTGAACCTTTGTAAACAATTTCGTCGTCATGAACTTTCTTCCAAAACTGGAAAACGGCTTGCGTTCAACAAAAAATTCGAAGATCAAAATGAGCAAAGTTCAGCACAGAAAACCTCAGTTTCGATGTGGATATGCACAGCACAGGCGGCCCTAAATGCGAAATCCCTCTGCTGACCTGACTTCCTGGGGTAATTTATTTACATTACCGGGTATTGTACAGCATGGCATGCGACACTTGGACATCATTCTATGCTTATGCAGGATTCATATGACACGGGCTCGGCAAGCCATATCCAAGGACAAATTTGCGCCGGGGAAATATTAAATTCATTTTTGATTTTTTTTCCCTGCCCGACGTGCGTTATAACACTGTATACTCAGTGTTTGCGCCGAAGGCTTGTGAAAAAACCCAAGCGTACTCGGGTGGGACTCGAACCCACACTTCCTGCCTATAAGTGCAGATGTCTCAACCTCTCGACAACAGAGCTTGCCAGTGTCGGCTGGTTGGTTCGAGGCAGATGTAGCAGCCGGTACCATAAACAATTATTTCCAAGGATGGATTTGCGCCAGAGAATAGTTAATTAATTTTGGATATTAGGGGCAAATAAATCCAAAATTAATTGAGCTCATAAGTCCCATCGCGTGCCTCCTGTATCAGCCCCACTGAGCTGTAAATCGAGACTACAAGGACAAAACGGGGAGTAATTCCTCGCCGCCGAGCAAGAAGCGTTCCTGCCGTAGTCGTAAACAACATTCCGTTATCGAACTTTTTCGCCTTCAAGAATGGTGTAAATTTACCCTGAAAACGTTGTTTTGTTTAGCAAAAACCTACACAAATCACCTGAAAAATTGTGAAACTATTGAATCAGAATAAGCAGGGGTCATAATAAGCAGTTCGGGAGAGGGTGAACACTACTATTATAGGGAGTGTGGTAAGCGTTAAGAAAGGGGATGGGCATCAGAAATTTCTAACTTTTTGGTCCTCTACACGAACAAAGGCACTACTACAGTGAACTCGCTTTTGGGGTACTGTTGACTGTGTAAAATGGGGCGCGAGCATAGTTTTGCAGCTATCCCACAGCGCCTGCACATTGAATGGTGATAAACCTTCTAGTCTTGTTTAAAGGTCAGTGATCAGCCAGTAATAACACTTTCTACATCATTCAGAAATTTTCATTACTTCCTTTTCATGTCGGAAAATGGAATTGATAAAAAGAAATACTTTTATAAATACGGGAAGCCCTGTAAGCTCTAAGATAGCTTGCTTGACAGACAGAACCATTCTCAGCATATTTTTAGAATGTTACCAAAGACGTCCAATCCAAGTAGTTGGAACATTGTTTCATCGTGAACCCATAAAGTGCACTGTATAAATTCTAATGGAAGTCATGCCACAAAGAAACTGTTGACCAGAAGTGGCCTTTTTTCCAGGCTCACTCAGGGAAAGCGAGCTCTTGGCGTACAATTTCACCGAGTCAACCATCGCGGTAGCATGGCGCACTGCGTCTGGCACCAAGAATCAAAACGACCCGTACATGCTACACATCGACCCGGACGATGCGGACGAGAACTATTTGGCTGTTTTCAACCCATCAGGCAGTCTTGCCTTCTCAGAGTTTGTGGGGCTGAAGCCGAACACGGAATACAAGATCAATCTTTTCAGTAATTTGGGCTTGATCCTCGGCACGTCGCAGAAAACCAGTAGGTTTCCCCCTCTAATCCAGACTTAGATTATGTTGAGGAAGAATATAGCTCAAAGTGGTGTCCACTTTGAGGGTGTCACACCCCCCCCCCAAATACTAAAGTAAACGGTTAAGTTAGCCAAGTATAGAGATGTATGACAAGAACTGCGCGTTTGCAGTAAATAAGAACGAAACACTGTCAGAAAATGACTTTTTTTTTCATTCATGCTTCACCATGCACCATTTTGTTTGGAAAGACTATGTCAAAATCCAGTTGCAACACTTTAGGTTAAGATATTACGATCACATCCAATATCACTTGAGGGAAATTTAACCTTATAAACATTAAGATGGTTATTATAACATAATATTTAGTCACAGCAAACACTCTTTGCTCAATGATAGGCTACGTTTCACCATGTAACTGTTACTAAACATTTAGGCTAGCCAGACAGGCTATCCAGATAGTTTCAACTGTGACTACTTCTGCATTATATACCGCCTCCAAAAATCAGTACCTATGGGATAATCTGTCCACATCACAGTATACCTAAAACACTGTTTTCCTGACACCAAGGAAGATAACAGGTATTCCTTTCAACATATTCTATACAAATGAATGTCGACTTACCATATGCCCGGTAAGAATTCCACCAGGCTATGTTTGAATGCAATCACTCTCTCTAAACCTGAAGTGCCGTCAATTGCGTTTGGCATAACAATAATGAAACGTGACTGAAGGAAAACCATCATGTACTCCTTTATGGCAAACACACTTTTATACTCAGACATTACACAATGTGGTTAAATGGACCATTTGCTTCAGGATTCTTTTTCTTCCTGGGACACCCTGTATATCTAAACATTGGTTTCTGTGAACACCTGTAGGAGATACCAAGGAGAGTGGCTTAGTTAAAGCACTAGTTAGGCCTTTGCAAGATGTTAGTGTACTAATCTGAAATAGGCACTGTGAAACACGCTTCTCAGACTCTAATGGATCTGTTCCCAGACCACAAGATAACGACTAATTCGTTTAACATCTTCAGTGCGGTAGATGCAATATTCACGTGACCAAAACGGAAGTTTATACGAAAGTGTTTCGTATACGAAAATGTTTAGAATGTATAAGTAATAATGTATAGTAATAATTAGAATGTATAGTAATAATTCTTGGTTCTCGCTGTAAATTTCTACTCCTTTAATAGCATTGCTGAAGATGGGATTGCTTAGAAAATTACGCCTACCATCATGAGGACTCGGCAGCAGGACGATGATCGCTCTTTGACTTTGTAATTTTCAGGGCCTGGGCGTGTGGCTAACGTCCGCCCCATGCTCGTGACGGATGACGCTATCAACCTGGAGTGGGATGCTCCTACGGAGGGTGATGTCGACTCTTACGAGCTGCACATCTCTCCGGGCGAAAACAGCGAACCCATCAAAGCATGGGGCACAAGGTTCTGTGGCAATTTAGGCTCTTTGATCATAATATGTGGACACTCATCTCTCAGCATTCCTAGTTTACATTCTGTCCACTGAAAGGGAAATCATGGATGGGGCTAGCAGTTTAAATTTGAATACAGTCCAACCTAAAGCTATAAAAATCCTGACTTCATTGGCCACTTTAGCCATTCGTGATCACAGCCGTGAATAGGTCAAAATGTATGTTTCAAATACCATTCATTTAAACAGTCTTGGTGGACATCTATTTGATTACACACATAGATGAGTCTAGGTTTTCTAAAAGCAGCACTTACTCTTTGTTTTAAAAACAGTTGTTATTTCTCGTCATTAACTGCAAAGACCGAGTACTTCTTCAAGATTTTTTCTGTTTACGATGGCATGAAGAGTGTCCCCCAGACCATCATGGTGACAGGCGGTGTAACAAAGGCACACGCCTCGACGCCAGGTAGGACTAAAGATAGCCTTTCCTGGCTATTTAAAACTCTTGCCATTCAAATTTACAGATTTATATTACCAGATTCGTCTAATTGAATTAATTTTCTACCGATTTACGCTTCTTAAATTTTGTCTAACATTTGTCACGACTTTAACGTGAAGTGACGAAGTTTCTTGACAAGGTATTAAAGTGTCAGGACAAAACTTTGAAATCGAATGGTAAATTACTTATTTTCACAATAGCACAAGAAATGCCTCTCAGAAGAATTTCATTATTCCAATAAGTGAATAGAAAGGAAAATGCTTCGGTGGCCGGAAAGCCTACATTGCTCGTTCTTGTTAGTGCTGACTTTTTACGCTTGCATTTCCTTTAAACCTTCATTTTTTTATCTGGACGTTGGCAATGACCTAGAATTTATAGGAACTTGGTGATTCTTATCACCTAATACATTTCTGTTTCAACTGAATACAGTTAACGTTGTGGCTACGGCCGTAGGCACAGTGCTGAGCTTCCCCTCCATTGTCTTAACCATCGGTATTGTCATCCTGTGCCTCAAGTATCGGAGGTTGAAGGTATAGGAAAGTACTTTTTGGCGGGAGAGAAGGGAAGAATTAGACATATTAAACCGTTATCATAAGACAAGGTTTTTTCCATCCAAACTCACATTATGAAAATATTACGTATAATTATGTTCAATTTGGCAACTCATTCCTCAACACATAACATTCAGGCCGTCGATATCTACCGGTATTAAGTTACAATTGCAGTTGTCAACGAGAAATTATATTGTTTATTTCCTGCTATAGAACAGCAACGATAGCAGGGCTACCGTGGCGGTCAGTTTCAATCCGAAAGAAGATCTAACTGACGACTATCAGGACAGTCGTCATTACCAGGTGACAACCAGCCTTCTCAGACTCCAATTTCTCCCATTACTTGTTTGTACTTCACCTTTCCTTAAATCGATTGTTGCCCTATAAATAAAGGAAAGCTGTTGGGTTTTTGGAAGAGAATTCCAAGGGTGCAAAATGATCGCAAACGCCAGAAGGTAATTGAGTACAATTCTTCTGAGGACTTTCCACTGTTATCTCTTACCGGTACACATTTTAGACACACCAGTCAGAAACTTTCAAGTTTGTTCTGTGTTTGGTTAGAAAGTAAAATTTACCCGTAAACATGATCAGCTCTTAAATAATTAAGGTGCCAACTACCATTTTGACAAGTACATGTAATTTCTGCACTTCAGTTCACGTAAAATAGTACATTCGTGGGGTGCTGTTTCGCAAAGATGATAAGTATGACAAACATATTTCACTCGGATCATAGCTGTGACTGTTTATCTTCACAAACCTACAGGTTTGGCAACTCACCCCTATGATCAATGTTGAGTGCAAGCAGTTTGATCTGCGTTAACTATTTGGTGCGATATTCTGCAGCAACAGCAGTTACACGTAGGCCTACATTTAAAAGTATCTATTTTTGTGCGCTGTTGACTACTTTTTGAGTAACAACTTAAGAATGTGATAAGCTGGTCTCATTTTCGTTTTAAAAAGTCATTTCCAAGAAATGTGACAACGTAAAAGAAAGGTCCATTATCATAACTAGATGATATTTACAATCATAATGATGCGTTGTCTATAACAACTGTTACTCATTTGAATGCTGGATTTCTGTTTGTTTATTTAACAGGCGAGAATTAAAGAAACAGAAGGAGTCGACTATGCTGTTCCCGACGTGGACGGCTCAAGCCACATGACCCTTGACCCATCGTAGGAAACACGCACAACGTCCAGAGGAGGAATGAATCCTACACACATATGACGGAGATTTAGCAGTGTTACAATTTATGCCATTTCCAAACGAGTGGAAGGCCTATTATGAACCGCTGCCGATTTTCTTTAACCACGTTGGTCCAAGGCTTACCATGTGAACTGTCAATTTTACTTATACACGTATGTTCTGTCAAACTAAACAGGCCAGGTGTAACAGGAACACAAATATGTATAGGATGACCAATTTACGTCTTTCTATCCGTAGTTTGTCAGGAGGACAGTGTTTATTGTCGCACCATTAATTTTTTTGGCTCTCATTACTCAGACATCTGGTCGTAGCTGTGTCATAAATCATTTCACAGCCAACAAGGAATCCCTTAAATTGTTGACAATGATCATTTTAGTTTCCAGTTGTCATTTTAGCTTATGTGTTTAATTCTTAGTTCAACAGATGACTGAACAGCACCGATATCTATTTCGGGGGCCGGATTCAGCCCTCATCACCTATTTCATTTGCAGAAGTTCTTTCTCCTTCCTGTTGTCGGTCTTTGTTTTGTCTTTTTTTTCTAGATGATAATTATTGGCTCTTCTTCAAGAGAGTACAACTTTTAAGTTTGAAATTAACTTCTCAAGAACATTAATCCTAATCCCGCAGTGTTCGTGCATATGACGTCATGAGGGCACAGGCTGTGCCACCATGACGTCATATGTATATATGTATATTTGACTTGTGATTTTGTTACAACTTTGTTACAAAGACCATCCTTCTAAGATTCTTTTTGACGTCTGATTACTCACGTTCACGCGACTGTTCCTTTGAAACTTCCACGGCCTTGTAATGACGTGATTAAAATGCGGAGATAACATTCCTTGATCACCAGAATTGCTGGGTAGGTATTATGAATACTGATCAGAATGTATAAATGAAATCATATGTTACAGCAGAAAAATGGAAGCAACAAGCACTATGCAGTGTTGCCAAAGGGAGTAAGCTCATTTGTACACAGCTTCCGGCAATGATCATGGCGTCACAATGCGCGAGTAGGCTGCCCGTTGCATCCCCTACTTTCAGGATGTCGTCATTTCAGTGAATACCGGTGTGAAGGCGATGTTTTCAATCTGTGCGTGATTTTCATTTCAGAAAACTGCTTATTACCGCATTATTGACCTGTACTTTCTCCGTCACCAATGCATCTGGGGAGAAGTACAAGAGAACTACTAAACCCAATCGCGTATTCAAATTGCACACCACACGCTTCGTTAGTTGATTCTCCTGTAAGCAGCCACTTCACGGTTATTGTTATTTATTATTTATTATTATTTATTATTTATTATTATTGTTATTTTTTGCATGATTACTTTTTTATTTACTTCATGCATGTATGCGAATGGAGAAAGTTAATAAATAATCCGGAAAAACAATGCTATGAACGGTTTCTGTGTTTTACTTCTTTTCTTGATTTCAAATTGAACTGTGATCATAATAACGACATTCCTTTACTAATTTTTGTTTCGACTTTCCCTAATGTGCCCTCCCTGATTTACAAATTATAAAAAACATACATACATGCATAGACGAAAATTCTCAAGAAAGTTTAAATCCGACCCTGACATTTGAGAAGTGTTTTGATGACAGAAGCGAGGTTTATGTTCTGGGAAATTAGCACTACCCACTGTATACGATGCGGTGTTTGCACAAAGTCACTAATTAGTAAACAAACTATTATATACAATCAAAACTATCGACCTTCCGAGTGTACAAACCGAAGCAGACATGGGCCTTGAAAAATCAGTGAAGTATCTAACAACGTACCCTCATCAAAAACCTCTGCAACTACCATACAAGGACATGATGAAAAAATATAGAGTAGTTTTGCTAGTTAATAGGAAAAAACCTGCTAGTGCTCTTTTGAATATGCAGCATTCTAGTTGGACCTATTATATGCAAAGTTGTTCTTTTATGTCACAATGCGCAAGCAGGGTTCTGCTTTCAAGATAAGCGGTCGTATAAGTTTTGGTATGGACTAATACACCCACACACGTAGACGGTGTTTGTGCAAATACGCGATTTGAAATGTGGAAGGGCTTACTGTGGGATACAATCACCATCAACTTTAAACTACCTGCATTTTTTACCAAGTAAACCCATTATTTGATGCATAAAGGCGAAGTGCAATGAATAAAAACGAGTGTAGTCTAAATACTACAAACTTAGCTAAAATGCCCAAAAAAATCTGGAAATGAGCCACCAGCTAGAGCCACTTTGGAGGATCAGGCCCTCCAAAAACTCTTGCGCTTAAAAAAAATTAAAAGAAATACCATTCTTACCAGCCAAATGTGCAATTTTGTGATGATACAAAGATAGGTGATACATGAACTTGAAAGGCCGCAACTTACTGACAAACATGCACCACCCTGCAAAATTCATATCACCTAGTAAAAATGATACTAATGGGACCTCATTGAATGATCACAAATTATTGTGACTCAAGTCGAGTCCGGTCTTTGCAACGTAGTGGCTCGAGTCGAGTCACTGTAACGTACCTTAGTAGTTCGATTCGAGACATTAGTTAAAAAATTGACAGTACACCGATCTTACTTTTGATGATAATAACACACGAACATAGTTACAAACCGGAACTGTACCTCATTCCATGATAAGAAAACGAATTTCTTTTGCACTTAAGTTTATTTTAACATTTTGGTCTCGAGTATTATTAACTTTCACTTGAGTCAGGTCTTCTGATGATGGCATCGAGTTGAGTCATTTACTCGCAGTGACTCAAGTCGCAAGTCGAAGTCATTTAAACGTCGAGCCTAGAATCGTGTCGAGTCGCCAAAAGTTGTGCCTGGAGTCAGACTCGAGTTGGGTCATTGGCCCTTGACATTTAATGAAATGCTTCAGCTTAGACATTTCGAATAAAAACGTACATACTCTCGATTGTATTAACTTTCGGTCATTTCAGGGTGGTGTGCCTCTTTAAATTGCCCCTTCTTCTGTGTTGTGCTCATCACGAATGGGCATCTTAAAGCTCTTAAAGTACCTTGTGATAATGGTTTGAATTTCGTACAAGTACTAAAGTTGGGAAGCTTTGTAGCCAACGTCCGAGTATTCCACGCCGAAGCCAAGAAACTTCAGACTTCACGAATGGGCATCTTAAAGCTCTTAAAGTACCTTGTGATAATGGTTTGAATTTGGTACAAGTGCTAAAGTTGGGAAGCTTTGTAGCCAACGTCCGAGTATTCCACGCTGAAGCCAAGAAACTTCAAACTTCACGAATGGACATCTTAAAGCTCTAAAGTACCTTGTGATAATGGTTTGAATTTGGTACAAGTACTAAAGTTGGGAAGCTTTGTAGCCAACATCCGAGTATTCCACGCTGAAGCCAAGAAACTACAAGCCACCCTGCAGACCCACAAGTAGAAGCAACGAGTAGAAACAAAAGCCGGTGTATACATGATCCCCTGCTAATGTGGGAAGGTGTATATCGGAAAGACTGGTTGGGACTTGCCCGCCAGACTCACAGAACACATTGCCCATGGACGCAGAGGTGACTACGATAAATCAGCGATTGTCAAGCACTCACACATCACGGATCACCTCACCTGGCAAGCAGCTCAACTCATCGCTCCGGTCAATAGATGGTACCCGATACGCGTCAGGGAAGCAATCGAGATCTACAGTTTCTTCGGGAGCAAAAAGTTGCATTGAGGCTGAAACTTCCGATTACATGTATCAGTAATCAGGTACAAGGTGAGTTCAATTTGAATACATGTCTTGATTCGGACAGTTTTTGTGAGATAGTACTTAGAATGCAGTTCTGGTGGATCGAAATACTGTCAAAAAACTGATGACATACTATAACGCGTATTTGTTTCCAATGCTTAGAACTTGAACTGCCAGCTTCACAAGAACGGCGAAAAAGGAGGCACTCAAAGTTCGTCTGTTTTGGCGTGTCTTTCGTTCAGGTATGCGTTCCAGTGTCGCGCCGATCCAACTGAAGGTAAGATTTTAATTAGGTTCGATATTTTAACAATTAGGCGCGACCAGGCGCGTCAGAAGGCGAAAGATCGACACGTTGAGTTGTTCAGAACGATTCTGGCTTCAGACATCGCTCTGATAATGAGTCAAACTCAATGCAAATAACATGTAAATGTATTGTACATTGATATAAGTATATAATGTCTTCATGACATGTCCCCAAATCCATCGATGAAAACAATTTGGTGTCATTGTGCTCTGTTATTTTTAGCTCATGCATTAATCTATCAACAAATGACTGGACTCTTATTGAATTCCTCTACTGAAGAAATGAAAACACATTTTGGAAAAACAACGAATTTAAAGTGACACAGACGTGCAAGCAAAGAATAATGAAAAAAACATCAATTCGGGTGTATTACAATTAGGGCTTTTTGAATTCACGTTAGTGATTCTGTGCGTGAGTGGAGTTCTTATACAAATTAAATTCACCTGGAGTCTGAATTGGGTCGACCGACCCGAGTCATTTCCTTGGATCTACTCGTTCGGTGTGACTCGGGAACTTATGTCTGAACCGGGCGTTGTTTGACACTGGTGATAATGACGTATGTCAATGGCGGTGACTGTCGTAATGAAGGCGTCTTCGCACTTAAGTCACTGCATGCCGTCACTATTCAAGCAGTCAATGATTGGTCATGAAACTTCAAGTTGCGTCGCAAGGTCAAATGAGCATTGCAAAGCAAGTTCTTAACATTTTTATTCTCTTGTCGGTTCACTCTAGACCATTAGTGAACTGACTAGCGAATACATTTTACTTCTACTGGCCCAGTGATCGCCTGAGTGGGAACTCTGGGTAACGGTGACTGGCAATAATAATGAGTGAGGCTTATCAGGTGACACAACTGATGAAGCTGATCGAGGGTTGCAGAAATTTAGGTGATAGATTATGATGGCGTGCATGCACGGTGACGACGATGACGATTATGCTTCAGCCCCAATGCATGAAAAAGAACTACACTGATCTGAATTTAGGTGTTTTGAAAAGCATTTGCTTATAACCTTTGAAATTTGTAAAATACAATGTTCACAATTTTCATCCTGTCCCAAGAGTGCGCTCCTGATTTTCATGACGTCATCAGTGGATTTTTGGAAGAGTACTGTTTGGCGAGAGACTTACACCATTGAAAGAAAGGTCGTATCTATCACCAATTTTGAAATCTAAGCTACTTCCAATTTGAACCGGAAGAAAGGGTCACGTGACTTTACACGTACAAGATAAATGAAGATTTCGGAACATTGACTCACTGGTCAATCTTCCCACCAGATTATTGCCAAAGAAACTAATTTACTTCATGGACTTTCTGTTGACAGAAATAAGTTTAAAATGTACATATAGGCATAAAGACTATGTATCAACATTCCTGAAATATTTGACAGATTACTCTCTAATTGCTGTGTTACCTTAGAAATAAAACATAGCACATTTGAAGTCCAACCACTCCCAATAATTGAACATTAAATCATAAATCATCTTTAAGAAACAGATTTACATGTTATATAGTCATTAAGTACACGTGCAGGTCTGTTTACATGTGACAAGTTCGCCTACATGAGCCTGTTCATGTACATGCAGCCATGTACATTCACATGACAATAACGGAAAAGTTTCTTTCGGTGAACCAATTTGAACTGATGACACTTACTTCACTGACCCTACAATTACAATAGTTCTCAACGTCTGATACAATATGGTCTGACCACACCGCAAGCGAGGGTCTCCATTATTTCACCAATCAAAATATTGTAAATAAGCAAGCACGGTCTTCTATGAAGGCCTTTGAGTAATGATATCACAATGTCATTCATACACAACCAATATTATACAGTATGCCTGGTTTTGGAGGTAATGAATAACCGTCAGCGATGACAAAGTGACACGATTTGATGGCATGCACGAAAATTATGCAAATGTCGCACTTTAATAGGTGCACATCTTTGCGACTGTTTTCAACGTCTATGTATGTACAGGTCGTGTGCGCTAGGGTGCAGGCAACAACAAGCTCTTGTCTGGGTCAGTAAGAGAGTGTGCAGATAATTTAGCAAGGTTTTACGAAACTGTGACAGACTTTCCCCACACTGAAAGATGTACATGTAACAGGAGACCGGTAAAATGGAGTGCTAATGCGGCTTTAGGACCTAACAGATCTGAAAAATCTTGACTTTATGATGCTGGGATTAAATTTTTCATGCCCAGAATGTGAAAATGCACGTATACAGTAGAGCTGCTGTAAAGTCCTGTGTTCTTAAAGGCTTAAGTTGGACTAGAATGTACTGAATAAAGTATTTGTATTCGCTCAGTCAAGTTTCTGTAGCTTACCTGCAGTAGACTTCTGCAGAGTAGCTTATTACATTTTACAGTGACTTAC